TCCTAGCCCTAATCCTGGAATTGTCCTGCGCCTTAAAGATCGTTATGGAATCCCCATCGCCGCTTTAAATACTACCTCAGAAATAAGAAGCGAGTTCCCCCAATGAAACCGAGCCACAAAATCCTCCGTCTGCCCAAACTAGCATCCGCAGAATCTGCTCGCCCGTCTGAGGAATACAATGACTTGCAAAATCCTCTTTAATGCTCTCCTTTACGTATAACTTCAAGTCAAGGTCTTGTAAATTACAGAATTTGATACCTCCCTTTAATTCAAACGTACAGTTCACTGTGTGTTACCATTTACAGAACCAACTCTTAAGAATACTTGGGCGCGAACTTTTTAAAACGGAAAAAGCAGTCGAGGGTGGAGATCTACAGACTCACAAGTTGACTGTAGCTTACGTTATTGAATGAAAAATAACGTCAGATAAACTTGACACTGATATTATACGCACTGTATGCATTAGCAGCATTTCAATCTTAGCCAACTCCTCTCTTCAAATAGCAGGTAGACTGATAATAAAACAGTTATATTCCGCAATCGCAATTATCCCTCTGACGTTTTCGAGTCGAACAAGGTTGCTTCGAGGTAAGGAATTATTCCGCAAGGCTCTAGCTGTCGACTGTAGTTGGTCGCTTTATATCGACTGGGGCAAACGAAGCAAGCCCATTCAAAGCATGGTCGATCGATAATTCACTGACATTTCCTTTCTGCACGAAAACGGAAAATGTCGGAAGACGCAGGAGTGAATAAGCTTTGTCCAACTTTCCAGGCTGAAAACACATGTGAATTAACTGAGAAATGGCACATACGTCATGGGCCTGGGTCGAATAACTCGGCATTAACTGAAGAACCCACAATGCTCCTTAACCATTCAGGACAAACTACGCAGGCGACACTTACCTCAGTCCACGTGAATATATCGAGTGCCGTCAAGACAGCCGCACATTCCAACGTGAGTAATCCGATGCCCGAAGAGTTCATCGGGTCGTTCGAAGACGCAATTGCAGCATCTGTAGCTCGCTGGGATGAAATAAATATGACTGAAGATGAAATCCGTCAACGTGCCTCAAGTCTGCCCGTCAACAGCTCCCTTCAACAGACTATTCTTAATCTCATAAGAGAACTATCTCCGGGAGACAGATCAGTCTCAGTGGCCAGATCGCTCTCTGTGACACAATTCTCGAGCTATAGTCAGGCCAGGAGGAGTCTTGTTGACGGACCGCAGTTGACTGAGAAAGAAGTGATCGCACTATCTAGGGAGCGGAGAGTTGCTCGGGATGCTAACACTGTTCGGGCAGTACGTAGTCTACTTCACAGCACGCACCGTCTGCAGGTCATCGCCGCGGTGCAACATCTGCAGCAAATTCGGGACAAAATGCACAGTGATCGGTCACGGGAATTACTGCAGATTGAGCATGCCCGTCTCATTGCGCGACCACATGTCATCAGTCGCGAGTTCGGACTCTACCAGTCCTATGCGTGCTACTTGTGTCGGAACTTTTTTCCCTCCATCGAGTTCCTTCAGGCACACCTGCTGAGTCTGAAACACTACAGGCTCTGCCTGTCGAAGGAGCGAAGACAGGTAGTCGCGTGGGCTCAGGATAATACTAGACTGATGACCACTGGCAAAGCAGAGCAGCAGGAACAGGAGGGAACGGGGGCCGCAGATGCAACTGGGACGGAGACTCCTGGTATCCTTTCAGAGCCTTCCAAAAAGGAACAAGAGGCAACGGCCGAAGGACTAGTAAAGAGGACTGAGAATCAGATTACCGGCAATAATAACTCGTTTGTCCAACTGTTTGACAAAACGAAAAACGTAGATGAGGCTGCCGAAAACCCAAACAACGCCCTAACAGTCTTCGCGGAAGCCAGTAACGTTGATGACGATGGGCGGGACATAACCAATGCCATGAAGAACGTGGCTTTCGCAAAAATGGTTGATGCGGCGCAGAGAACTAAATCACTTAGATCGGAAAATCCGATCGTGCTCAGCTTTGGGACATGCCTATTTTGTGGAGCTAAGACTGATCTAAGTCCTTCGGTAGAGGTGCACAGGTGCACACGAGAGGTAAGCCCTTCTCTTTCCCTGGTCATGTCGTCATGGAAGCCTTATAAGTGTGTAGTCGGTAGTCGCTCTCAAGAAATCTTAACTGAACTTCTGAAATGCTTTTCGATTATGAAGGAATGCCTAAGTGGGATTGTAATAATGATTACCGTGCAGCATAATCCCATACTATTTTGACAGTATGGGATTCGGGCTTTTAAATTACTTATTTTTGATCGCTTGGAATAGCTACACTTAGCAAAAATCGATACATAAGTAGTATGATTTTTATTTGATTTTCACTGCCTCTAAAAATCAAGTATATTTATGCAAAACGCGCACAAAAATATGATTTTTGCACTCATTTGGTAGCAAGTCAATTTGTCTTCAATTTTTATACACAAGAGGGGTGTATTTAGATTTCGAAAAAAAATTTAATTTCTAAATATTTTCGAGTCCGATTTGTCGTTGCACATTCGTTTAGGGCTTTACATCTACAAGTCCTATACGTTCCGTGCAATGAAAATCATACTTTCTTCTAAGACAATCAGAGGATATCATATAGAGCTCATAAAATTTTGCAGAGAATGTGAACTCTGTTGTCTACCTCTTGAAGAGCATTAATGGACAGATACGATTCTGTTTCACGAGTGGAAGCGAATATGTGAGTCCCATGCTCTCGTTGCAATGGAGCTGAACGCTCGAGATTGCAATCTCGCAGTTTCTGATGATGACATTCTGTACGAGACCGAAAGCTCAGGCTGTCCCTCTGACCGTGTAGTAGTCATTTTTTGGCTGAGTGCGGCTTTTGTTTGCGAGTGAAAAGAAGTGCACTCAACAGCCGGCATCCTAGTGTGCTTGAAATAAATTTGGACCATTCTGCACGACAATTATTATTAAAACCCCACTTAAGCAGTCCCTCCTGATAGAGAAAGCATTTAAGGACTTCAGTTAACATCTAATTGGACTGGTCACTGACTGTAGAAGACGGTACTGAATTAGGATAGACAGAAAGGTAATTAGACGACATAATAAAATGGAACATATGGTACTCATACCATTTTAATCAGGACATAAAGGAATTTTCGACAACGCTTCAAAGGAGGACTATGAAATATTCTGACTTACTTTTCTAGATAGTTGACTTCGGCTAATAGGACTTTGTACTCTCGAAAAATTCGGTTATGTCAAATACCTGATTTCACGTAGTAACAAAGGCAAGCCAGAACAGCTGAAGAGCTATCACACCTCTTATGTAGTTTCCGTCTACATCGAAGCCTGAAAAAACGGCAGCATTGGAACATCATTCTTTCGTCTCCATCAAATTACTCGTTCGCCTGTAATATATTTAAACCTACTCAGAAAACGCGTCTTGATCTGTGACAGGTTGGCGGGTTAAAGGGGTGAGGGATTGAAAAAATGACGCATACGTCCTCTTAGGCTTTTTTATAAGCCAAAGCACATGCTAGTTATTATTCACCGATCGCTAGTTTTCCCCGCGAAATCCCGCTTCTCCGGCAAGAAATAATTTTCTTTATTAGGTCGTCTCTCATGATGTTTTACCTCGGGTGTAAGACAGTACTTAGATGGTAAATCGCTGATCATCAGTTAGAAGAAAAGTGCAAACATAGACATCCTCCAGCTGATAATTTCCCTTCTACTGACTGGAGGCTTAACCGCAAAAGTTGGCAAGACGCAGGAATAGAAACCCCCTACTATTAGGCCTTGCGCCAATTTCCGGGGAGATAAGGGTTGGTGTTAAGGTTTGGGCAAGGGTTAGTGTTATTGCTAGGGTCTGGACACGGGAACACTTATCCTTCCTGGGATTTTGCTCAGGGTCGTCTCTGTTGCCCGGGCAGGGGGGTTCTTATCCCCGTGTCTTAGCCGAAAATTAGAAAATACAGTACAACAAATAAACTTTCTATGACCCAGCCAGTCTGCTTTCGTTCCACTAAAAGACTCGTCGCCTGGACGCTTAAAGCCCACACAATCTTTCTAGCGTTTTCAGTCTCGACTGGCTCGAAGAAGGAGCGTTAAAAGCAATAAATGTACCTTTTGCTAAGAGGCACCATGAGGATCATTACTGGATACGGATGGAGATACCAAATATTTGGTGTCTGTAAATCTGTTGATAGAGTAGCCGTACAAACGCGTTCCACTTGTTTCGCATGTACTGTACGCCGAAGATGTTAAGTGACCGAAGTATCAACTGGGCCGCGAGTATGGGGCAAATGCATGGGTGGAATGGGAAGGAGCATCCCTCGATGAAAAGATGACTCAGTTAAAGTTATATTCGCTAGTCAAGGACTTCATTTGACGTACAAGTATCACTTGCAGTCACGTGAAAGCAGCTTTTTTATTGATCTAATCACGGGAAAGGTCACGCCCATTTCACTTTACCTTGCACCCCACTAACGAATCCATCATAATCTCCCACCACGTAACTGCCTGCCCCCTGTGTTTCGTCTCCACGCACGCGTACCTGCCACCTCGGGGCGCTCCTGCTCCAAAACCGCTCCGTCCTATAGCAGGTGAAGTGACCTGCGGTCGCCGGACAGACTTCATCGCGGACGCACGGGACGTCCAGTAAATTAAAAGTCAGCCAACGATTGGGTAATACAAACAGTCGAGGGTTTCGAATAGAATACATCCTTCCTTCTGCTGTTCTCCAGTGTCTACCAATTAGGACTTGTACCCGGTTGTGGTAGTCCACGCACATCCATTAATGTGGCTACCACATGCCGATGGTCGAATGTGTGATCGAAACACCTTGTTCTCCCAGTCTTTCCTGTGCAGATAAAGGTTTCTATGGAAAGAAAAATTGTCCTTCAGACGTCTTGCCGCTAAAAGAGGCAAATGCCATCAAATCAATTCGCAATTTAAGCCCCTCACGAAATGTAACAGAGCGGTCCTTCAGTCTTACCAAAATTAGGGAGCATCAGTACCTCCCTGACATGTTCTTCTTTCTAGAACTACCGGCACCATCACTTGTGATTGCCATTCAGGAGAAAAATTCGTCCGCCTTAATCAATCAAACCGAAGAGTTTAACGCTCTCTGTGCCTTATTACATCCTGGAGTCCTGACAAAAGTGTAACTTTTTACAGGCATATTAGTTTGGTTGTAGATCCACTGGGATGCGCCACGTCTGACAATTTCTGTCTTCGTGCGCCAAAACGATATCTCACTGTCACACGTTGATGAGAATGAGGCGAATGCTCTTCAACTACTGCTGCACCTGCCACCAGGCCACACCATCAGACAGCGAGCACTGATTCGACCAATGGGTTAGAAAGACTGCCACAGTAGATGTACTGCATGCGGCTAACTCGTACACTGGTCCAACAGCTTCATTGGTTGCTTTACAACTGACATTTACTTCTTCCCGTTTGCAGGAAAGATATGGCCGACCACCTTTTCTCCCGTGTCCCTCCTCGCGTCAGAGTTATTTGCTTTCACGGCTTCACGATCCCCGACATGCCGGCCAGTCAGAGCCCTTGAAAAAAGGCCACTCAAGGGCCAACTTGATTAGAACACTGGGCAGCCGTCCCTCATGGCAGTTCGACCGCTGTGAATGACGACGTTCTCCATGTGCCCCACAGAGTGGCGACTTACGCTGGAATTAGTAGTGGGGCAGCGTCTACCGCATT